CTATAAACATTGGGGTGCACGTACCCCTTCGGATCCCTACATTTGTATCTTTGGGGTAAATACCCAGTAGTGCAATTGCTGGATCATATGGTAGCTCTATTTTCAACTTTTTGAGGAACCTCCATACTGTTTTCCAGAGTGGTTGCACCAGCGTGCTTTCCCACCAACAGTGTAGGAGGGTTCCCCTTTCTCCGCATCCCCGCCAACATCTCTCGTTTCCTGACTTGTTAATTTTAGCCATTCTGACGGGTGTGAGGTGGTATCTCATTGAGGTTTTGATTTGGATTTCCCTGATGCCGAGCGATGTTGAGCACTTTTTCATATGTCTGTTGGCCGTTTGGATGTCTTTGGAAAAATGTCTGTTCATGTCTTCTGCCCATTTCTTGATTATTTGTTCTTTGGGTGTTGAGTCTGATAAGTTCTTTATAGATTTTGGATACTATCCCTTTATCTGATATGTCATTTGCAAATATTTTCTCCCATTCTGTCGGTTGTCTTTTGGTTTTGTTGACTGTTTCTTTTGCTGTGCAAAAGCTTTTTATCTTGTTCATCTCATTCTAATCTTTCATTTAAAATCTAGTTTGTCTGATATAAGTATGGCTACTCTGGCTTTTGACACCCGTTAGCATGATAAATACATCTCCATTCCCTCACTTTCTTCTTTTTTTTTTTAAATTGTTTATTCTAGAGAGTGTGTGTGTGAGCAGGGGGAGGGGTAGAGAGAGAGGGAGAGAATGTCCAGGAGATTCCCTGCTGAACAGGGATCCTGACACGGGGCTCGATCATACGACCCTGAGATCATGAACTGATCTGAAATCAAGAGTTGGCTGCCCATCCGGCTGAGCTACCCAGGCGCCCCTCCATCCCCTCACTTTCAACCTGCAAGTGTCTTAAATGTAAAATGAGTCTCTTGTAGGCAGCATAAAGGTGGGTCTTTTTTTTTTATCTATTCTGATACACTATGTCTTTTGATTGGGGCATTTAGTCCATTTACATTCAGCATGATTATTGATAAATATGAATTAAGTTCCATTGTATTACTTGTTAAGTCATTATTTCTGGAAATTTTCTCTGTTCCTTTCTTTTCTTTGTCACTTTTGGTCTTTCTCACTCAAGGAGTCCCCTTTAATATTTTTTGTAGGGTTGGTTTAATGGTCACAAACTCCTTTAGATTTTGTTTGTCTGAGGAACTCTATCTCTCCTTCTATTCTGAATGACAGCCTTGCTGGATAGAATATTCTTGACTGTAGATTTTTCCCTTTGAGCACATTGAATATATCATGCCATTCTCTTCTAGCCTGCTAAATTTCTGTTGAGAGGTCTGCTGCTAACCTTATTTGCCTTCCCTTAGGTTAGGGACTTCTTTTCTCTTGCTGCTTTTAGGATTTTTTCCTTATCTCTATATTTTGCAAATTTGACTACGATATGTCTTGGTGTTGGCCTGCTTTTGTTAATTTTTAATGGGAGTTCTCTGTCCCTCCTGGAATAGGATGTCTGTTTCCTTCCCCGGATTAGGGAAATTTTCAGCTATAATTTGCTCAAATAAACCTTCTACTCCCTTTTCCTTCTTGTCTTCTGGGACTCCTATGAATACAAATGCTATTCTTATGGATTCGTTGAGTTCCCTAAGTCTACATTTGTGGTCCAATATTTTTCTTTCCCTCTTCTTTTCAGCTTCATTATTTTCCATAATTTAGTCTTCTATATCATTTATTTGTTCCTCTGCTTTTTCCATCCTTGTGCTCATTACATCGAGTTAGTTTCACATGTTGGTTACAGTATTTTTTATTTCAGCCTGACTAGTTTTAGGTCTTATTTCTGTGGTAAGAGACTCCCTGGTGTCCCCTATGGTTTTATCAAACCCAGCTTATCCTTATGATTGTTGTTTTAAATTCTGGATTAAGCATATTACTTGTATCTGTTTTGGTTAGATCCCTTGCCATGACCTTTACTTGTTCTTTCTTTTGGGATGAATTCCTCTGTCTTGGCATTCTGTCTAGGTCTCTGTCTTCTTCTTTGTGTTAGGAAAGCCTGTTATGGTTCCTGCTTCTGAGAGTTTTGGCTTTATTAAGAAGAGGTCATATACTGTTCAGGGCCTGGCACTTCAAGAAGTGTTTCTGATGTATGCTGTGTGCACTCTGCTGCTGTATTTTGGCTGCTCTTTCCCTCAGGTCAGTCTCCTGAAGAAATTCTCCTTGCCTACTGTGTGGAGTTTTTGGACCTTGTCCAGAGTGTGGCAAGTTTTACCTAGGTGTGCTCTGGTCTGCTTGTTAAGAGACCTGATGCTATTTCCACTAGAACTGAAGCTTTACAGCACTCTATGGTCAGTTGACATGGTGTGTTCAGGGAGTTTGTTATAGTCTTCAGGGGGAAGGGTTCTCAGGCATGCTTGCCCTAGAAAAGCAGCACCTGTAGAGGGGGTGGGACCTGGTGTAAGTGGTTTAGGCCTCCACTTGTTGGTGCTTTGCTGCTTAAAGAAGTTAGTTCATGCTGAAGGGTAGGGGAGAGAAATAGCAGCAGCCCTCTCTGTCCTCACTGGAGAGGGGTTCATGCCCACTGCTGTCCAGGAAGCTCTTATAGAAGAACAAAAAATCACCCCTTATGTGTCCCAGGTGTCCCTCAGATCCCTGCTTTGCCCTGTCTGTATCCAGGCCATCTGCCCACCTGGCAGCACAATGCACCTGTATTTTATTCCAGTCAGGCTGGCTGAGTTTTAAAACTCCAAACTTTTGGAACCTGGTGTGGTGTAGGCCTATGTTGGTCCTTTGGGGGAGGGTCTCACCTCACTGGGGCTGGGGCAGGTTTTTCCCAGAAGGGTAGTCACACCAAAGTTCAGGAGCTTGGAGTTTGATGTAAAGTGCAGCAAAGAGCTGGTATCCCCGTTAGCCACCCTCAGCAGGTGTCTCTGTCCCTATGCTGGGGGGCAGGGTAGCATAATGATGCCTGCTGGCTCTTTTGTCTCCAGATAGGCAATGCCACCTCTCCCAGATGTGCTCCAAGAAGGGGAAACCATCTCTCCCAGTATATCTCAGGGAATCCTCAGATCATACATCCACTACTGGGCTATCTGCCCTCCTTCTCCATAGGAGAACTGCAGTGCCTGCTGGGCTCCACATGGGCCATGGCATGGACCTCTAAAATTCCAGTCCTTGAGCTCTGCTATTTGTAAAAACTCATGATAATCAGCCCCTCTTGTTTTCCCAGTCAATGGCTTTGGGTAAGTGTTTTCCTTGTGTGATCCCCTTGTTGTTCCTCTCTCTCGCTCTCTCATTCTCTCTCCTCTTTCCATGTTCAGGGTTCCCTCCCCTCTGCAGCACCTGCAATCCCCCTCTTCCCCAAATCACATCTCTGCACCTCCTACCTTCCATGATGTGGCTTCTTTCCCTCTAGTTGTGCAGTTTGTTCTGTCAGTCCTCAGATCAATTTCTTCAATGTTCAGAATGATTTCCTGTCTTTCTTGCTGTGTTCTAGGCAAGCCAAGTGTCCTCCTATGACTCTGCCATCTTCCACAGATTTCTCCATTTATCCACTTGTAGTGTTTTATTCAGTTAAATCACCTGGGTTGGCTCTCTAAGTAGCTTAAACAATCAACAGTGGGTTATTGACCAATATTTTGAATAAATAATTTGTTAAATGCAATGGTTGTCAGCATTCAGTGAGTGCAAGCAAGGAAGAAGGCTCCACACCTGAAGATTATAATTTAGTAGCTCTGGGGTAGTGCTGAAAAATCTACATCTTATTAAATTCCCCAGATGATTCAGATGTAA